GTTTGATCTGCAGTCAGCTCAGACCCCAGGAATCTTATGTGTCAGCCCATGCAGCTCATCCATTCCCGGCTTTGGTGACCTCTCTGAACAGCCTCTACTCTTTGGCTTGTGGCATGGTTGAGTCAACACCATGGCCCCCAAATGAGTCAGACTTAGTTCATATTTCCCTGTGGCCCAAAGGTAATTTGGGCGTGTAGTTTTTGGAGGTCTCTTCCTAGCAGGGAAACGGGACAATTTGGGAAACACAGGAATTCATGTTGGACCTCTTGTCCCTCTATGACATACCTTTTGGGTTGGCAAAATGGCCTCTTTTCTGGGACCTCAGAGACCCAGACACTAGTCACGTTCTTTGGATAACGGCACAATGGGTTGTGTCCCTACCTGATGCTCAGCCCACTATTTACCATAAAGTCCATCAACTGGCTCACCACTGTGTGGCCTGGGCTCCTTAAGGAGATGGAGCCTGGTCTTGCTTAGTGCACACAACCTTCAATTCCTGCCAGTCCGATGAGGTCTGGATCTGGCTCCTTCTGGAGGAGTTAGCCTTTAACGGGAAGTACTCTGGTTTTATAATTCTCACCATCTCCACCATCGTTTTCTGGGCATTCATTTTCCCAATGCTTTTATTTTATTTTATTTTTTCCATTGTGCACATTGATCCTGTTTTAGCCTTGCCTGATTTCTAGGTCCTGCCCAAATCTGGCCCCTTCCTCAACCATGCCTGCATCCAGCCCTTTTGCAACTTCTGTTCGCTTTCCCACAGGCACTGCCATCAGGAAGTCTACTTCTTTTTTGAGCTCCAAGGAGCTTCCCACTTGGCCTCATGGTTGATGTACATGTTGGTGGCCGCCTCTAAAAGCTGGGTTGCATTCATGCCAGCAAAACCCTCTAGCTTCTGTAGTTTTCACCTGATGTCTCACTCAGCCTACCCCACAAAGGCTGTGTTCACTATGTGCTGAATCTCAGTGGCCTCTGGACTGAATGGGGTATAGAGCCGGAATGCCTCACAGAGCCTCTCTGGGCTGGGACTTGTCATCAGTTCCCTGGTGTATTTCTGAGATCTTTCCTATACTTACTGCTTTCTTTCTGCTCTCCTTTAAGAGGCCTTCTAAGGGAGCCTCTCTGTACCTCTGCAAGTGCTGCAACTAAGTTGCATCATTGGGGTCCCACTGAGGGACTTGGTCCTGAGTGTAGGTTTGAACATCCATCACGCCTGCTGGGGCATTATTTTCCAATCAGCGGAGGGCTGCTGGAGTCACTTCCATGCTCTTCAGTGTTAAACAGCATCAGGAGAAGCTGTTTGCAACCTGGCCAGGTTGGATCATGAATCTGGAAGATGGACTGCATCACATCTTTAAGAGCCTAGATCTCCATGTAGAAGGGAGTATGGTGTTTCTAGTTAAGGAGCTCAGTGGTTGAGAAGGGATGGTAGATAAAGCTCCATTGTCCTCCTTGGATTTGGCTTCCCATGTCATAAGAAATGGGCCCCTAGTTTTCTTTTCTTTCTTTCTTTCTTTCTTTCTTTCTTTTTTTCTTTCTTTCTTTTTTTCTTTCTTTCTTTTTTTCTTTCTTTCTTTTTTTCTTTCTTTCTTTTTTTCTTTCTTTCTTTTTTTCTTTCTTTCTTTTTTTCTTTCTTTCTTTTTTTCTTTCTTTCTTTTTTTCTTTCTTTCTTTTTTTCTTTCTTTCTTTTTTTCTTTCTTTTTTTTTTTTTGAGACAGGGTCTCACTATGTAGTTGAGACTGACTTGGAACTCACTATGTAGCCCAGGCTGGCCTCAAACTCACAGTGATCCTCCTGCCTCAGCCTCCCTAGTGCTGGGATTACAGGCGTGTGCCACCACACCTGGCCTGGGCCCCTAGTTTTCCAAAGGGGCATCAGGAAAGTCCTTGCACAGCCTGATCGGGGGCAACTAGCTTGTTCATTTGGGCCTCCTTCAGTTATCTCCTGGGGCAGTGGCTCTGATTCTTTTCCTCTCTAGTGACACCTCAGACTTGCTGTCATCTGATCCTGCTTCCCTGTGGCTGGTCTTGGTAAGGGTGGGGTAGACTGGAGTAAAAGGGGGTAGGATCTTTGTCTCCTCTGGCAGCTCTTGCAGAACCAATTTTTCTTGCTCTTTATGCTGCCTTTCCTTTGTCCCTGTGGCACGCAGTAAGGCTGAATCCTCTATCCCTTTTATATTAGGTTCAGCTTGGGCCGTAAGTATTTTGTAATATGCCACCAGACAGGGCTATAGCCGGATGGGTCGGGTCTGGACTATACTCAGCCGTGAGTCAATGTAAGGAAACTGGTCTGGATACCCCGAATGTCCTCTGCCCCTGGCCATCACATGATGTACAAACACAACCATCCCTCTGTCTACTGTACCTTCAGCTGGCCATCCAACATCAAAGGAAGGCCAGCCAACTTCACAAAGAATTCTCAACCTCTTGGATGTCAGCCTTACTCCATAGTTCCCACGTAGTCTTTCTTAAAGTTCTTTAACATACATTCTAACGGGGTGGAGTTCGATTCTTTTCCTCCCATCTCCTCCCTGTTGTGGTGCAAATCACTCTCTCAATCATTTTTGCTTTCAAACCATTAGATCACCCCCATCATGGGAGTTTTCTGGTGCCGCTTAACAACCACAGGGTTCCTATGAGCCAGAACTTGGACCCCCAACTTCGCTACCGTATGTGGGGTGCCTTCATAAGCCTTATGTGGACTGGTGTTAATCTTGGTTGGCTGCACACTTGCTCAGTGTACAGTCCATACTAAGATACCCGTGGGTGAAACAGGTGTCTTAAATTACTCTTCTCTCACTGCTAAGACAAAATACCTGACATTCAAATATCAAAGGGGAAAGAGTTTATTTAGCTCGCAGTTTGTAGAAGTTTCAGTCCATAATCAGCTGGCTGTAAGGCAGAGTAGCTCATGGTAGAGGGGCATTGCAGAGGAGAAATAGTTCATGGTGCCAACATGGTAGCAAAAGCAACAAAGGACGTTAAAAGCATTTTCCTAACCCCATCTATCTTGGTTTTTTTTGTGGTACCAGGGATCAAACTCAGGTCCTTCTCTTGCAAGGCAGAAGGCAGCACCACTGAGCTAAACCCCTGGCCAGCCCCATCTATCTTACCTAGGCTACTTAGAGCAGGTAGCACTCACACCCTTAATCCTAGGGCCTTTGAGCCTAGAATTGTACCATGAATTCTGGTATCACATACTCTAGATCCAGCCACCACTGAAAAACCCCCACCTCATTCACATGAGGCTTTGTGGGGGGCTCCTAAATTCAAGGTATAACAGGATGTGCCACCAGCTCAGTGGGTTCAAATCCAAAGGCTGAGCCCAGAACAAAGGAAGGGCTCTAGTTTTACACATGTTGCCAAAGAGGGGTTGGTTCACCTAACGGCATAAAACTTGTTGGCAGGCAAGCAAGTTTACAGAAGCAGAACAAAGGCAGTTACTCAAATAGTGACATTTTGCAACTTAGCACATCTTGGTGGCCTTGAATGGGTGAAGGGAAACAGAATGTATAAAAACAGGATGTTGGGCTAGGGATTTAGCTGTGGTTCTGGCGCCTGCCTGGCAAGCACAAGGACTTGAGTTTGATCCCTGGTACCAAAAAAACAAAACAAAACAAAACAGGATGTTGTGAAATCATTACTTCTAGGAGCAAAGTTGATAGGACATAGAACAGCAGCCACAGGGAGGGGGAAGACTAAAGGGAAATTGCTTGGGTTGGGGAAAACTTGTTTTTCCTTCTTTTTAAGCCTTGCTTCAATTCCACATGTATATTACTGTATATTTTGAACAAAGCTGTACCTATATACCATGTTATATGTATTACTATATATGTATGAACATAACTGTATATTTATACATGTTTTATGCATATTGCTACATGTGTGTGAATAGTTGTACATACACACATGTTCCATGTATATTACTATATACTTATGAACGTAGCTGCGCATATACCCAATGTTACATATTATATATATATATATATATGTATGAACATGGCTGTACATACATACCACTTTATATGTATACTACTATATATGTATACAATATATGTAGCTATACATATATACCACTTTTTGTCACTATGTGTATATGCATATGTTGTATGTATGAGGCCAAGCATGGTGCCACAGACCACTTGGGAGGCTGAGATAGGAAGACTGCTCTGAGTTTGAGTATACATTGGGTATACATTGTAAGTTCAAGGCTAGCCTGAGCTACATAGCAAGACCTTGTCTCAAAAACACAAAACAAAAACAACAAACCCCACAAAACAAACTTTACATGTATGAGTATATTACTATACATGTATGAACACAGCTGTACACATATGCCAATGCTGTATATCACTATGTATGCACGTCGCTGTACATACACCATGTTGTATATATTACTATGCACGTATAACACGTGTGAGCACTTTGCTGCACATGCACACCGTATACTGTGCACGCACGCCTGCAGCACTGCGCGCTCTTTCGGCACAGTTTTCTCCTCGCAAACCCCTGGGCACTGACACATCCACCCGCGCGCGGCCACATCTCGCGCCCCTGCTCTGGGGAGTGACTTGACCGGCCTCCCCTTCACCCGCTCCCGCGCGGCTCTCGTCAGACCTGCGCCGCACGCTCTCTGCGCACGCGCTGGCCTTCATCCTTTTAGTCTCGTCGTCCCCTCCAGTCCTTTCCGGCGGGTCCGCCTCGCTCGCCGAAGGTTCTCTCGCTCAGCGTCACTCCGCGCAGACCAAGACTCCTCCCCAAGACGCGCCTTCTGTGTAGGCCCCGCCTCACTTCCGCTTACGCCGAGGTCAGAGGTCATGCGCAAGATGGCGGCCTGCGGGTGCCTTGAGTGGCTGTGGAGAGGCGCGTCCCTGTGACAGGAGCTCGGTGCCGGCGGCTGGCGCGTTTGAGGCCGCGGGAACCCG